AATTTCCACAGCTATACATGTACCAAAACAGATATTTAATCAGGTAGACAAAACTATTCTAAATATACTTTTACTCATTTATAAATATTATGATTTATAATAATCCTAAGCGTTTTTCTTATCTTAAAAAAAATCACCCAAAAACTTCAAGTGAAATATATTTCAGGATTAGCTTGCTTTTGTTTTGCTTTGAAGGTTTTTAACAACTTCTGCATCCAGGGGTCCATTATCAGAACACAGCCCAGAACTCCTGTCTCTTAGCGTATCCACACCAGAGTGACAGACCCGCTTCCCACCAAACAGGCTCGCTCCGCAGCACTTGGGGTGGCCATGCCTGCCCAGGCCCGTGATCCCCTTGGGGCTGTCTTTTCATCCGGGAGGGGCTCACTTACCTGTGACTTGGGATATTTCAAAATGGTGGTGTGACAAGGAAAACCAGAAATGGCTTCTAATTCTTAAGCGATTAATACTATTCAGGAAAATTCTGAGGGAAATGAGCACAGCTTTGTGTATTATGTTCTCCTAAAAATAACATTGAGCAAAATTGTGCTGTTGGTAATCTTATGCAGATTTGAGTTTGTGCTTTGAAATCTTCCAAATAAATCCAATCACTTTCCTTGGGTTGCTGCTTTTTTTTAGGTCTGGCAAGCCGATACTCCAGGCTCCCAAGCTCTCTGTTCTCCCAACAGTTTCTACCCACCTGCTGAGCCCAGCTAGCCTGTTCTAATAATGAGGACTTCTAAGGATCCCTTCTCCTCCTCCCTTTCTCCTCCTCCTCTGCAGAGTTGCAAGTTGGCGCCTTCTCAGTCACATGGCCAAGACCTGGCATTTGACCCAGACTCTGGCTTAATGCACTTTGGGAGGTCAGACAATCCCTAAGCTTCTCTCCCTGGATTCTGTGTGTCCATGCTCCCCAACCCAGAAGGGCAGTCAGGCTCTGTCCCCTCCTATAGTCACATATGACAGCCATTTTCCTTTGCTTCAGAGTGAAAATTGTGACGTCCCTTCCGTCTTCCATGGGACTCACCTGGGGTTCTGCATATACTGTGGGTACCAGCGTGGACTCCCATCCCTGTATGGCCTCTTGCCACGGGGGCTTGGAGGATCAAAGGACTCTGTGAGCCCAAGACCCCTGGCCAAGCAGTCACTATCACTGGGGGACAGAGCTGTCCTGAGCACCCAGGTCCCGTCGCAGGGGCTGTAAGGGAGGTCAAGGCTGAGCTCGTGCCCTGGTTTGGGACTCTCCAGCAGGCCCCCAGGGGCCCATGATCTTTGACTGCCATTAACAGAAAAGCTTGTTGTTGCTCCTTCAGATCTACTTCACCTTTTCCTCCTTTTCTCTTGCCTTCCCCTGCCTCGCCACATCCCCCTTCCCAGAAGACACGACAATTCCCATGTCAACAACCCTCAGCACCTTCTATCTCGGATAACAGTCATCCTCGCCAGAGTTTCACTTCCTGTCCTGGAGATGCTCCAAAAACCAGACTAACGCACCCACCTCCCGCGACCGGGCAGCCGCCGGGGGAGCTCAGCTCCAGGTATCGCGCAGGACGCTGCGATCCGCAGGGCCACCTCGGAGGGGGCCCAGCTGAGGACGCGCCCCACATTGGACGTATCGATGAGACAACCGCGACGCGGCAAGACTGAGGGGCCCCACAAGGCTGCCCGGCTCGGAAGCGGCAGCGCGGGATGCGGACCCAGAGCCTGCTGCGCCCCCCCTTACCCCCCCGCTCGCCCTTTCGTAGCCACGTCACCCTCCCCGGTTCCGCGGACAGGAGGGCAGCCGGGGCTCCAGGCTGACCGCTCGACATGGGCAGACCCTGTGGTCCATCCAGAGACCGTCTCTAACGACAAGCATCTCAGGGGCCTCCTGTCCGGATGGGAGAAGCGTTCGGTCGTCAAGTCGGAACACGTCCTAAGATCTCCGTATCAGCGCGCTTTCCGTCGCTCTCCGGTCCCACCGCGGACGGCCTCCCGGCTGCGAATCCCGCGGCAGTCTCCCGGCTCGCTCGGCTCCGCGCAGCGCCGCACGGCGGCTCCCGAAACGGGGCTGGAGAACGCAGCGCCGCCGGCCCTCCCGCCCCAGCGCCCATCGGAGACGCTGCGCGCGGCGGCTCGCGCACGGAAGCGAGCTGCCGGCCGGGGCTCCGGGCTGCAAGGGGGCACCGGCTCCGCGGGGAGCGAACCGGCGTTCAGCGGTACCCTTCCCTCTTCGCGGCCGGACGCGGCCCGCGGCAGCACAGCCCCACTGCTGCCCCCTAGTGTCGGGGCCCTGAACGCCCCAGCGCCGCGTGCTCGGGAGCGTGCGCCCCCAGGGCCCCCAAGCGTGGCATCCGGGGCACAGCACAGGGACCCGGTCAAGTGGCAGCTTCAATGAGAGGGGCAGAGATGGGCATCAGCCCTCAACGTGGGCCTGTCAAAACCGGGACCCGCAGGACTGAGGTTCTTAAGCGACCGTATGGCCCAGTGTCCTCTAGGAAGGCCTCAGGCTGCCCAGGATAAAGCTGGCACGCCGGGTTTGGTGGGGGCAGTTGGGGTTTTGACCTTCTGTACGGAGGGCAGGTGTCCTCAAAGAGACTCCGGGGAACTTGAGAAAGTGTACGGATTTTCACCTCTTCCTCTCCTCACCGCCTCCCTCCCGTGCTCCTTTCTCACTCGCTCTTGCTCCCTCTAGCTCTAACACTGCATCAAGGCAGATTGGAATTCCTGAATAGGCAAACTGTGGTTCCAGCTGCCCGAAATCCTCCGCGGCTTGGCTCAGACGGTCCCCTAAGTCCCCTACCTGGAAACACCTCCCTCCGCCGAAGAGTAAGAGGACCTGACTTGGCCATTTCTCGGCACCTCGCTCAGCCAGGCCTCTCCCTGCGTGAGAACGGGCGGAACGAGCGGAACGCTTTAAAGCTTCTGCCCCGCGCCCAGCCCGGGGCTTTGCTCGGAACGCACGCGCCGCGTCCGGCAGTGTCCGCAGAAAATAGGGAAGGCGGGGACTCTGTGAAGCGTGCTAGTTCTAGACAGGCCCAGATGAAACCCTAGTGGATCCCAGCTGGTCTGGGATCTGCCAGGGGGGACTCAGGGTCTCAAGACTCTCTCCCTCCAGCCCGGCCTGTGCCGTCCTGGGGAAGCCTCCCCCTCCACCCCCGCTTGCTAGCCAATACGCTGCTCTCAAGAAGGCCTAAGGGGCAAGCCGCCCGGCTGTTGCAGCCTAGAGGCAAAGGCCATCCCCGGGTATCTTAGTCGGTCAGGATACGGTCCCTTTACCGGACAAGTGTAGGGAAAAATACATACACGCACAGCACATAAAATGCCCTCGGAGGGGCGCCTGCGTGGCCCAGTCGGTTAGGCGTCAGCCTTCTGCTCAGGTCATGATCCCGGGGCCCTGGTCAGCGGGGAGGCTGCTTCTCCCTCTGCCCCTCCCCCTTCTCACGCTCCCTCTCCCTCTCTCAAATAAGATCTTAAAAAAAAAAAAAAATGCCCTCAGGTTTAGGAATGTCCCCCGGGAGCGGAAGCAGAGCCCACGGGTGCAGCTGCCCTCCGCTCCTCCGGAAAAGCCACCCCCCCCACCCCCCGAACCTAGACCCGCACGGGGCGCCCAGCCGACTGCGAGCACTGCTGATGGGCGCGGGCGCCGCGAAGGCAGCAAGCCCCACGCCGCGGGAAAGGGCCTCCCGCCAGGCAGCAAAAGGACGACGTGTCACCAGGAGCTAGCGAGGCCCCGAAGACACCACCACAGAGGGAACGTGCCGTCTGGAATAGCTGCATCTCCTGGGGGCCTGCCCTCTGCCGACGCCCTCGAGTTGGGAAGGCGGGGAGGGCGGCGAGGACGACCCGCGGCTTCCCACGTCGCCCCTGCGCTACTGCTGTCCCACCTCAAAGCGGGGGGGCAAGCCCTAACCGGACAGCTCACACTCCCGCTGCTCCGCTTCTGCGTCCGGGGGGTCGGCCTTCGGGGAGCCCCCCCGCCACTCCACCCGGGTCGGGCGAGTGTATACACGGCGCCCGCAGGGCTGCGCTCGGCCGTCAGACGCCATCAAAGCTGTGCCCGCGTTGGCCCGAGGGTTCCCCCCCCCAAACCTACAGATGCCGAGGACATCAAAGACCACAGCGGGACATTATCTTCCCACCCCCTTACCCCACTTTGCGGATGGCTCGAGAGGTGACACGAAGTCCCAAAGGGTCCAAGAGGAGGAGCTGCGCCAAGAGCGTCGGCAGAGCGCCTTTCTCCGCCATCCTGTGGCACGCTGCCCAGGGCCTGCAAGCCCGCTGCTCTGGTCGGGGGACACCACGAGCAACCCGGCGCGTGGGGATGCCCTCCCAGGAGAACAGCAGCTCCGTTTCCCCGCCCTGCTGGGCACCACAGCCCCGCTCCCGCTTGGGAAAATAGGGGGCGGGGGCCGTAACCAAATGCATTATTTTTTTAGTTCTCGAAATGAAACATCTGGCACCTGCTCCTTCCTCGTGTCTTGTATAGTGGTTGCTCCCTTCTTTTGAAATACCAAAGCGTCAGTCAATAGGGAGGTAGGCAGGGCGGCCCCATCCCCAGTGACAGCAGCCCCGGGGCCCGGCCACCCCCACAAGCACCAGCAGGTCGCCCCCGCTGACTGCAAGGTCCCCACCAGGATGGAGGCGTGGAAGCCCCTGCGAAAGGCTCTGCTCCCGGGTTCTCCTCCGGGGAGCATTCAGTGTGGCCGCACCAACCACGGGGACGCACAGGGGACGGTCCTGCTCTGGCAGGAATAAGTGCCATCCTCCCAGGAGCACTGCGAAGGGCTTACTTCCGAGATCTCTGGGACAGTGCCCGGCTGCCCCTGGACGTCCTGGAGAAGAGGAAGTAACCTACGCGGCCGTTTCCTTCCAAGCCAGTCCCTAGCCCCCCTTCCATGCCCCCCCTCCCAAAAAGTCATGGCCACACCTCCGTCAGCTTGCCCTGGAGCCTCAGACGTCTCTGGTCCCATCGCCAGGGCCCACCCAGAGCCGGCGGGCGCTCTCACAAGACCCCGTGGTCAGCGTTTTTCCGAGTGGGCTGCACCCCAGATGTCCCTCCCCGGGGCGCCCCTCTGCGGGCCAGTCCACCCTGAGGCCCTCATCGCGGTTCTGCAGCTAAAATGTCCCCTTCCTCGATGCTCTGCAGCTGCAGCCTCTGACTCGCAAGAGTCCTGCTGCCTCGGCGGCCCCCGAAGCCAGCCCCTGGGACCGTCCGTGCTGCGGCCAGGACCCCGGGCAACGCCTCCTCCCCGAACAGCTTGATCTTGGCTTCCGCCTCTATGACTTTGGCCAAGCTGGCCGCGTAACTGTCCAAGGACTCGTGCACTTCGGCTTTCACATGAAGAACAGGGTTCCTGGCGGCATCTGAGGGGGAAGCAGAAAGGTTGGCCGAGGTCTAGCAGCAGCGATGACGGGGAATGTGCCCGCAGATGCTTCATGGCCCGGGGAGGGGGCGGCGCAAACCGAGCGCGTGGGTTCTGTGGCCCCGTTCCCTAGGCTCGAATCCCTGACGTCCCATGTCCTACCTGGGGAGGCGTGGAACTGACCTGCTTCCTCACCTACAGAGAGAACGTCACGGAGCACCTCTTCCCAGGGTTATGTAACTGTGATCATTAAGCAATTCTTTCTGAGACGTCTAGGTCTGGCCCACAAGAGAGGCTTGATAAATACTTCCTAGTAACGATATTCAAAATTCCACACCTTTGAAAGAATTCTCTGGTACTTCAGCTCCCTAGAACCATATAATGCCTATGCCTCCTCTCTCCTGGGCACACAGGCTCACGCCGGCCAGAACCTCAGGGTTGGAAGTAACATCAAGGTCCCTGCACCCCACCCAGGATTAGGAGCCCTGACAACTCACACCAACAGAGACAGCGAATCTTCAACCTCACACCCAGTGCCTTATTATTACTGCCCTGGCTGCCCATCTTTCCCCTGCCATTTGGGGGGGGCAGTTCATCCCCTACCCCTCACATTTTCTGGAGAGGGGGCAACTTCCACCCCACGTGATGAACACTCCCTGTCATCCATTTCAGGGAATCTGCAGCCAGCCTCGGGCGCTGCTTCACACATGTGATGAAAAGGGGAGGGACACGTGGCCTCCCCCGGGCCCTGTCCCCTGTGCTCCTCCCTGGCTGCAGACAGGCGGCCCTCACAACTGCCAACCCCACTAAGCAGGCCTGATGTGGCCAGACTGGCCTAGGTGGGCCAGGCGGATGGGGGAAGGAGCCACTCATTTTTTATTTCTGGGGGTAAAATATGATAAAGCCCACGAGGCTGCAGGCCAGACTCTGTCCTAGAGTCTACTTTGTCTCTCTGACCACTGTGACTGCCCCACAACTTGGCTGGGAGAAAACCCGGGATTCACGGCCAACCCAAGGCTCTGACAGGGCTCTCCCTTCCTGTCACGGTCAGCATCCCTGAGTCCCTGACACCATGTCCACACCCATCGTGCTGGTGACTGTCCTCATGTGCTGGGATTCGGAGCAGAGAGGACCTTCCTTCTGTGGGCACTCTGCACAGTCCCCTGTCCCTCTTCTGATCAGCACGTCTGGATGGGAAACCAGACCCTAACACTTATCTCCCACCTGTCCTGATTCCAACCCCAACACCGAGTTGCCTCTGGAATGTAGGGTTTGGTTTCCCATCCAGAGGCGACACGGTGCTGGGGTTGGAATCAGGACAGGTGGGAGAAAAGCGTGGGCGCCGCAGCAGAGCTCATTCTGCTCACAGAACTCTCGGGCCCTCATCGACTCCGGGGCCAACAGATGGTCATGGTGGGATGGTCACGGCGGCGGCCTCTGCTGATCTAGGAACACTCGGGGGGGGGGCCACTGCTTCCATTTCCGTGAGGAAGCAGGGCTCAGAGTGGTCAAGTTCAGATCTCTGCCCATGCCTCACCCAGAAAGGAGAGAAACCACGGAGGGCTTTCCCAATCCAGCAGCGAGGGCTTTCCCAATCCAGCAGCTTCCCGAGGAAGGAGATCGGAATCGGGGTGTGTGTGTGTGTGTGTGTGTGTGTGTGTGTGTGTGTGTGTCCGTCCGTCCCCACCTAGAGTTCCAGGGCCCCTCCCCTCCCACCTTCCCAGTCCAGATGCCGCCCACTCCAGCAACGGGGGGCCTGAGGCCAAGTGTGATGGGGGGAGGTTGGGAGCAAGCAGGGCGGGAGGCAAGGTGGGGAGGCCTGGATGCTGGGGTTGAGAGCAGGGCTGAGCCAGGGAATTTGCCCTGGTCCGTGCCTGTCCCCCCCAGGCTGTCCTGAAGCATCAGCACAGACCCACCTTTGATTTGTTCCACTTGATCCTCAAAGGTCACAGAGCTCCTTCTCTTGGGGGGGCAAGTACAGTGGGAGGGAGGGCTGTCATCAGACGTGTAGTCCTCGAGCAGCATCACGTCTGTTCCTAAAACCAAGGGTGGGTTGTGCACACAGAACTGGTGAAGCAAGGTCCTCCCTTTCCACCTCTCTCCACCCCCTGCACGCTCTCTCCCATGTGTTCAATCCCGCCAACAGGTGCAACTCCCTGCCTGCAGCATTTGTCCAAGAAACACTGGGTACATCACCTCATTTTGGGGAGGCTGCAGCTGGAGCCCCGGGGCTGCTTCAGACACAGGAAACACAGCTGTGTTCCCCAGATTGCAGGTTATGTGCCACAACTATAGTGACTCAGGGTGTTGAGCCAGGCCTGGGATGGAGGGGAGAGGGTGGCAGGGCCCTATGACAAGCTCTGCGTTCTGAGGATTCTTCTTACAGTCTGAATTTCCATCATTGTTAAAATATGCTGTGCTAAATAATTTAAAATTTGAAATATAGAGTCCTTTGGGGATCAAAAAAGAATTGAAAAATATACCCGCCAAAAAAGTGGGCAAACAAAGGCAGAGAGGCAGGGGGTCCTATTAGAGAGAGCTGGGCAGAGCAGGGGTGCGGGGCTCCAGGCTGAGACGGGACCCTGGGCCCGACACCGGGGCGAATGTTGGGACCAGCCTTGTTCCATCCTGGTCTCCAGCTTGCAATCTTTCAAGGCCTTAGTGGTCCGGAAACGAAGACGGGGCAGCCCCAGGGTCCTCCTGCTGTTTCAGGACCAGCTACAAAGGCATCCCTGTCTCACACGAGGGACTCGGGGCCAGAGGGGCCGGCGTGACCAGCAGTTCAACCCACCGGCTGACAGGTGATAGAACATTCTCAGGGAACATTCTGCCTCCAGGGAAAACTTTCCACGACAGAAGGCCGGGTCTTGGTGTCAGCCCGCGGCCTACCCAGAGTTCCACGACACTGGCTGAGGGTGGGAGAAAGGTCAGGGCAGAGATGAGTTTTTACAAGCTCCCGGCTGCAGAGATGGTGCGAAGCCCCCGCTGCCGTCAGCCCAGCTCGTGGGCACAGGCTCGCCCCGGGATGGAGAGCAGAGGCCCCTGCCCACCTGCCTCTCACCAGCGCAGCAAGCAGCGAGCGGCTGGAAGGAGGCGCTCCGGGCTGCAGGATCCCCTGGGGGGCAGCGCCAGGCCGGGGGCGGGGGGGATGGGGAGCATCTGTGCTGGAGATGTGTTTCTTCAGGGAGTCCAAGTTTCTCAAGGGCAGAGCCCAGAGCTTGCCAGGATGGTGATGAGAGGGTGTGATCTTGGTGGGACTGCCCTGATAGAGGGAGGACTCCCCCCAGTTCCCAAACGGGGATGCTCCCAGGCTTAGAAAGAAATTAAGCATCTTGCCCAAGAGAACACAGCTCGGAAAAGGCCCATGAGACAGAGAACCGGTCGCGGCCACTGGTCTGACACCAGCAGCAACAACTCATGGTCACCAGCACGGCTACTGTTCCAAGGGTTTCACTTCACTGGGCTCTGACAACAGCCCTGTGTGGGGGAGAGCAGCACCCAAGTCCCCATGCTCTACAGGGGGAAACCAAGGCCCCGAAACGCTGGCAAGCTGAAGGCCGCGGCGAGAGGCCCATGCTCGGGGCACGGCCCGCCCGCCGGCTGGTAGCCTGGTCCCGGGTCACGCGGCAGGTGGGACGCTTACCTGAGTCCTGGGAGCAGCTGAAGCCAGTGTCTCCCGTGCTGCTGCTGTTCCCCAGGGGCTGTCCGCCTGCCATGAGGGCTGTGAGGTGGGGGGACAGGCCCAGGTCTGAAAGGTAAAGTCGGCACCGTGAGCGCAGCCCAGGTCCCGCCCAGGCGGCCACGGACCCTCCTTCTTCGGTCGCCCCCACCGGCCTCACTGCCGCCTCCCCTGTCCTGTCTCTTGCACACCGGGCTCTCAATCCACAGCAGGATCGGGAGTCCCCAGCTGCCCCTTCCCCTCTCTGCCTCTTGTTCCCATCCCGGTGGGATGGGCCCTGAAGACCAAACTCTCACACCACCACCACATGCCAGAAGGCAGGTGGCAGGGAAACGTGGGGCCCATGGTCTTGGGAGATAACCTTCCAGTTAAACATGGGATGTGGGTGCACTGTGACCTCCTGAGATCCCACTTGAATACCTAGAAGGAATTTTCAAGTGGCGCAAACCACAAAGTGTGAGAGAATGCCTGCAAGCCAGAAGGTAAGGACAGGGGGCCTGACCCAGGGAGCGGAGGCCGGAGGCTGGGGAGGCCTGGGCGGAGGCCGGTTCTCACCCAGTGCCCCCCAGAGCTCAGGACCTGGAGGCCCAGGAGCCTCTGCAGCACGTGGGGCTGGACAGAAAGTCTCTGTAGGCAGTGGCGGGTCCGGTCCACCACTCTGCCCAGCCCAGGCTCAGGAGCTCGGGTCCCTTGTTGGCAGGAGGGGATAACCCCGGGCCAGCCTCAGAGACCCCCGCCACGGCTGAGGCAACACCAGCTAAACCATGGGCACAGTGACAGGCCACAGAGTGAACAGCGGGACCCCCACCCCTCAGTTCCCACAACCTGGCCAGGAGAGTGAGAACCCTTTCCCGGGGCGGTAGAGCGGCCCGAGCGCCACAGTCAACGGGCCTCGTGTGCCCCCACGCAGGGCCTCTGCCCGCTCCCAGGGCCTCGCCACCAACATGGAGGAAGGCCAAGGTCACTGGACGCTCAGGGAGAGGCATTAGCTTGAAAGAGATGAAGGAATACAAAAGAAAGAAAGAAAAGAGAAAAAAATGGATCTCAGAGGAGACAATGGAGGAAGCTTAAGAATTAAAAAAAAAAATTCTACTTGAGTCCCCTGAGAAAATTGAGAGAATAAGGACTCCACGAACAAAAGAGCCGGAGGCTCTGGAGACCACAGACGTCACGGGAAGGAGCTCTTGGCAGTTAAAACTGCGGCACACGGAGTCAAACCCCCCTGGCCTAGGAGCAAGGCCCGCGCCTGGACTGAGTGAGTGCCCACACTCCCCCACGGTCCACCTACAGACCGGAGAGGGCCCTAAGCCTTCTGAGGGTACGAGGTGATGGACAGCGTGCTTCCCTTCCTTCCCTGGAGCCCAGGAGGAGATGAGAAGGGCGGGCTTCTCTCTGAATCACCGTCTGTGAGCTTGGGGAACTGCGCTCGTGCGGAGCGCGCGGGTGGAGCGGACTGGGGCCAGAGAAGACCCCGCACGCGCTCGTCCCCATCCTGGGCCTTGGCCTCAGCCCGTGACCATGGCTCGGCAGGAAGCCCGGCCTGGGGAGGGGCCCGTGGGGTCCAGGCGCTGCCGACCGGGATGGCCGAGGCCACGGTGGGTTTGGGACACGTCTCTGAGGCTGCGGTGAGAGCCAGAACATGGCCTGGTCTCCAAGCAGCAGGACGAGTCGTCTGAGCCAGACCACTGTGGCTGGGCTGGAAGGTCCGGAAACGGCCGCCCAGCGGCCCTGCCCCGTCCTGTGTTTACCCGGCATTTACCACTCCACAGTGGGCGCAGTTAGCCTGGGATTTTTCACACGAAACAATAACACATCTACCGGGTTGGGCCCAATCCAAGCCCTGTTACAAAATTAAAAAAAAAAAAGGCACAAAGGTGACAGGCCCCGGGGATCTGATCAAGCCTGGGGCGAATCAGAGTCACTAGTGCCCTGCAGTTCTGAGCTGAATCGGGCACTCCAAAGTCACCGGAAGCCCTCTAGGTGGCACCAGGAAAGGAACGTGCAAAAGCAGGTGGGGAAACTCAAAGGCCCCAGGGTGGCCTTCCCTCCCTCCAACCCCGACCTCCCCAAGGGGCCCTGCAACAAGGCATCTCTCCTGTGTGTGTCCGCATCCTTCTCTCCAGAGGATTGCTAGAAAGGCTCTAACCCAGTTCCAGGAGCTTCGGGCACCAGGTGGCAGGCATCTGTAGAGGCTGCCTTCCCACGGTGCCCAGGCCACCCTCCCAGGCTGGAGTGGGGTGGGCCCTCGGTTCTCTGCCCTGCCTGGGATGGAGGTCTGAGTCAGCCGGTGGACGAGTTGCTGGAAGAGCAGCTTGCCCTTTCTGCTGAAGGCCCCTGATCGCCCGAAGCCACCTGTCAGCTCTGGATTTGTGGTCTGGCCTTGCCAGACCACATGTGAGCATTCAGCTCACCTTCCAGCACTAGAAGTCAGTGTCAGCTCCAGGGCTGACCCACGCACCATGAGGTGGCACAGCCTGACAACCTCCAGGAAGCCCAGAGATCTCCATTCCTCCGGGAGCCTCCCAGGCAGCAGGCACTTTGGTGGCTCAGTGACAGGTAAAAACTTAAAAACCTTAGGGAAAACCTTTGCCTTTGCACTTCTTCAGCTTCGGGCTAGCAGACCCACTGATTATGGTGGAAATCTGTGTATGAAATAAACATGACAACGCGTTTCGCAAACTCCTGACCTCCCAGAGTCAGCGGGGAAGTTCCAGATATTTCTGGAATTCCTCTCTGCCTCTGCTCACAACACGCTGGTTAAAAAAAGTTCCCAGGTGGCCACCCAAGTGGAGAAGAACAAAACCCAGACAGAGCTTGCAGTCCTTTGTGGCTCTTTCTAGAAGGGATCTCCCCTTCTTTCTTTCCCTGTGCGACCGCCGGGGCTCGGGCACTGAGGGAGGGGGCCCAGAAGCTGATTTTGGTTCTGGAGTCTGGGCGGATCCAAGCCAGGCCCACAGGGGGCGTCAGAGGAGGGTCCGCCCGGCGGGGCTCAGCCAGACGGACCGAGGCCCAGAAAGGCGCGGGCATTCCCCGTGTGGGCGGGGCGCGGCGGGGTGGGGCGCGGAGGGGCGGGGCGCCGGCCACCAGCCACGTTGGACTCGCCAACCAAACCACAGCTGGCGTTTCCCGCCCCTTCTCCTGGCCCCACGACCTCGGCCACCACCATCACAGGTGATCTGCATGGAAAACCTCGGCCAAAAGCAGACGTTTCTTTTTGTGCTAGCTACCCTCTCCTCCTCCATTCTCTTTCCTCGTTCTTTTTCTTTCCCCATTCCAGCTTCCATGGAATATAAAGGTCATATTTTTTGCCTAGAAGACAAGTGATTTTACAAAATGGAAATTAATCAGAGAAACGAAACCAGACCCTGGATGCAGTCCTGGCTCACAAGGCGGACTTGGAAACACGGATTGGCCAGGGGCAGGCAGGGGATGGGCACTTCAGTGGTTAAAATCCGGCGTATGTAGATTCTTTTTCTCCTCTGGTCAAAATAAAAAGCCCCTCCTTGGGCACATTTTGCGTGGAGCACTGGGTGTTATGCACAAACAATGACTCATGGAACACTACATCAAAAACTAATGATGTAATGTATGGTGATTAACAATAAAAAATTAAAAAACAAAACAAAAAAGCCCCTCCTTTGATCTCAGGGTCATGAATTCAAGTCCCACGTTGGGCATGGAGCCTACTTAAAAAAAAAAAAAAAAAAAAAGAGCAAAAAGTCCCTGACTTCCTTCCTCTCTCAAGGCTCAGGTCATGATCCCAGGGTCCTGGGATCGAGTCCCACATCGGGCTCCCTGTTCGGTGGGAAGCCTGCTTCTCCCTCTCCCACTCCCCCTGCTTGTGTTCCCTCTCTTGCTGTGTCTCTGTCAAATAAATAAATAAAATCTTTAAAAAAAAAAAAAGAAGTAACATTCCGTCAGCCCATGAAATAAATCAGTGATGTTGGTTTGTTACTGCCTCACAGAAAAGCTCTCCTATCACCACTACCACGGAGTATCCACGATAATTATGAGCTATCTCTTTCCACCCTCTTGAGAGGGAAGTTGGAAGACCTCTCTCAACTGTTATCTGAACTAGCTTTTTCCAGTTATCTAAGTGCCTTCAAAATCTCTCTTCCAATAGCTCCTCCAGGTGATAATCTCCCTCAAACATCATCCAAAAAACCCAGCTACGTCCCCACTGGAATAACACGGTACTAACTGCTAGAGGCAAGATCCACCAATGCATGCTAAAAATACTGGGTGAAGGCTGAACGAGAGAGGGGATATTTGCACAGCCTCAAAGGATCTCCCCCATTGTGTGTATTAATTGCAATGGAAACCACAGTGACTTTACAGGGGAGAAACCCGACAGATACCCCTGAACTGAATGTGTCCCCCCAGAATTCATATGCCCTAAGCCCTGATGTGATGTGATGGCATCCGGAAACAGGGCCTTTAGGAGGTAATCAGGAGTAGATGAGGTCATGAGGGTGGGGTCTCCTCAGAAGAAGAGACCACAGGGCTTGTTCTGTCCTGTCTCCCCACACCCCCACCATGTGAGCCCACGCAAGAAGACAGCTCGGAAGAGCGCTCTCACCAGAACCCAACCGTGTGGCACCTGATCGCAGACTTCCAGCTGCCGGAACTGTGACAACTCCGTGTCTGTGGTGTAAGCCCCTCGTCTATGATATTCTGTGACAGGAGCCTGAGCTAAGACATGAAGCATCAAGGTAACATGAACTAGTAATAAGACATACGTGCCCCTGATGTGACCACTACAGAGAGCACAGCACCCTCACAGCATCCCTGCCCAAAACATACGACCTCATTCTAATCCTGAGAATACATCAGCTAAACGCACCCGGAGGGGCCTTCTACAAAATCCCTGACCAGGGCTCCCCAGAGCGTTACCGTCATGGGGGCCAAGGGCAGAATGAGGACTTGTCAAAGCTTGAACAAGACAAAGGGGGCCATGACATGATGGTGAACTGGATCCTGGTACAGAAAAAGGACAGGAACGGGACAATAGTTGAAATCCGAATCACGTGCATAGTTAATATTACTGTCCTAGTTTTGGTCACTGTTGTGGTTCGGCCAGATGTTAACACCAGGAGAAGCAGGGTAGGTACCCACTTCCCAGCTCTTCTCCAAGTCTGGAATTATTTCAAAATAAAAAAGGGTTAAAAAAAATCTATCTCAGTCTAGAGTAATTCCTATGGGTCTCACCAAAGGTGAAAGGATTGTCTCCAGAAACCTGTCAGCTCCCCAATCGATTACCAGATGGAGGAGCAGCTTTATACACAGGAGACGGTGACGTTTGGGGGGGTGCTGGGCACAACGTGAATTACCAGTGACAGTATGAGGAAGCCGCTGACCCGCAAGAACGGCCCACGGAGGAGCATGCTCGGGGATGGGCAGCTGAGGCCGGGTGGGAGTGCCCGCAAGGGGGCTGTGCTTTACAGAACATGGACAGGAAAGGACGGCCAGGAGCGGAGGGTAGCCCGGACCAACGCCTGGGTTCTCTTGTCGGTAGAAAGAAGGCCAGCAGGCCGTGGCTAGGTTAACAGAAAACGGATTTCTGAACTCTGGCGTCCCCTGCCTTGAACTGCTGAGCTTGCGCAAGGGGCTTGGGAAAGACAGGGGACACTCCGGGATGTTCCTTCCCCGATGGACACCTGGGCTTGGAGCCTCTGAGAGCTCAGCCATCAACACAGCAGAGCGCCCGAGAGGACCACAGGCTATTCCTGGCTGAGGTGGGCACCCCTTTCCCAGCAGGTTCCCAAGTTACCTGTGATCCTATTGGAAATGCTGAAGAGCCTGGAGGCCCTCTGCCGCGGCACGAATGGCTCCCGGTGGTACCGATCCCCAAAGCACAGGCCCAGCAGCTCCTTGCGAACTGTCTTGTTCCAGAGCCCATAGATCAGGGGGTGGCAGATGGCGCTGGTAAAGGACAGCCACGTGGCCCAGGTCTCCAGGGTGGGAGAGACATAGTTCTTCCCCCAGAGGGCCTCGGAGGTGATGACAAGCATGTAGGGGCCCCAGGTGACCATGAAGGCCCCGAGGACCACCAGGATGGTGATGAGGGCTTTGCACTGGTTGGCCGAATAGACCACGCCCTGAAAGGCATTCCTCCTGCTGCCGGAGGAGGAGGTGGAGGTGCTGGAGTTCTTCCTCCCACTCCTCTGGGCGTCCTCCTCCACGATGACCACCGCGCCGCAGTGCACCTTGCGCGCCTTGACCCTGGCCACGCGGAAGATGAAGCCGTAGCACACCAGCATGACCAGAAAGGGGAACAAGGCACACCAGATCTGCCAGAAGACCGTGTAGCCAGGCTCCCGGTGCCATGCCGCCACACACATCCACTTGAACTCGTCAAACTCCACCGATGACCAACCGAACAGAGGGGGCAGGCAGCCGATGAGGGAATGGAGCCAGATGTAGACAAGCGCCATCACAGCTCGGTTCCCCGTGATCTTCATGGGGTACACCATGGGGTACAGGACAGCATAGTAGCTAGAGAAAGGATGGAGGGAGACAAGAGACAGCAGTCAAAATAGGGAAAATATCCCCAAACGGGCACCCAGCGCTCTCCGATGTGGGGAGTTTTGCTAAACTTCTCCATCCAATCCAACCATGGGGCGAATGCTCCTATAAGTAGCTCCTTCCCCCAACTTGTCCCCGACAAGTCACAGACGGGACCACGTTACACAGCTTTGCGGGACGCTTCTTCCGTCAAGAGCTGGATGCCAGGATGAACCACGAGCTCAGGCGGTCCTGTTTCCAAGTCACAGTGCCAGAGCCCAATCAGATCCGGAGCTGGGGGAGTTCTGCGGGATCCTGCATTGAGCCGGATCACTTCTGTGTTGCCGGCATTAACCCACTTAGATCAGTTTTCAGAGGGTCATTAAAAACCAGACTAATGTGGGCGCCTGGGTGGCTCAGTCGGTTAACCATCTGCCTTAAGCTCAGGTCATGATCCCAGGGTCCTGGGATGGAATCCCGCACTGGGCTCCCTGCTTGGCAGGGAGTCTGCTTCTCCCTCTCCCTCTGCCTCTCCCCCATGCTTGTGTTCTCTCTCTCTCTCTCAAAAATAAATAAATAAAATCTTAAAAAAGAGGGGGCACCTGGGTGGCTCAGTCGTTAAGCGTCTGCCTTCAGCTCAGGTCATGATCCCAGGGTCCTGGGATCGAGTCCCACATTGGGCTCCCTGCTCAGCGGGGAGTCGGCTTCTCCCTCTCCCACTCCCCCTGCTTGTGCTCTGTCTCACTATCTCTCTCTCTGACAAATAAATAAAATCTTTAAAAAAAAAACCCCGAATATCGAAGGACTATGGGGTTCACTCATTCGAGAACATTTACCGAAGGCCTGCCGTGCAGAGCACTGTGCAGTGTACCAGAAAGGCAGCAAGGAGAGGTGGGGTGGACAGACGGTAAGAAGAGCACGAGAGTCTGGAATAGTAAGAGCTACATGTCGTCCTCACAACAACTGCCTGACGTGGTATTATCATCATCCTCATTTTACAGATGAGGACACTACAGCAGGGAAGGAAGACGCAGCCTGCCCAAGACAAGGGGAAGAAACAAGACATACAGCCAGTCCCCAACGCACATGCCAGCCGGAGTCCACACGACAGGGGTGGCTTGCCAATCCCTCGGCCCTGTGTGGAGCGGGGAGGCCTGGCGGGGCCCTGGCCCAGACGGCGGGGTCGGCGCAGGCTTCCTGCAGGAGATGGCCCACAGACCCAGGTCTTCAAAGATCAGCGGCCCTGGCCCAGGAGTAAGTGAGGTGGAACCAGCTCTGGGGGGCGTGGAGACGTGAGCCTGCACCCCATGGGGAAGCTGCCCGGAGTGCCATCAGACAGGTGTGGAGTGGAGGCGGAGCCGGAGATGGGAGGCCAGGGGCCAGGAGCCAGGGGCCGGGGGCCTGGGCATGCTAAGCCTTGCAGGCCTGACCCTTGAACTGGAAAGGGTGAGAGGATGTAGACCATGGGGTTGGAAGTAAACCAGCACCCTCCCCACCCAGACACTTTATCCAAAGGAAAAGCTGTTTCATGAATAATAGGGTTTCCCCCTGAGGGCAGCGTGTGCAAACAACAGGGGTGGCCATACGGATGCTGCCTGGTACAGACAGGATGTGAGAAAATGGCCTTGGCTCTGAGGGTCACACATCTCCCGTGAAGCCCCCTGCCCCACTGGGACCATCCTGAGTCACCCTGGGCACCAGCGGCTCAGGGACAGGGCCACAGCCTGAACTGCCCCCTGCCACACCTCTCCTGGAGGGGCTGCCTCCCCCGTCTGCACCCTTGGGAAGCACCTTCCTAACCAGAGGTCAGCCTGGGGCTTCTGATGTGGGGCTTCGGACTCCCGCCAAGATGGAGCGTGGAAAGATAGCGTTTCCGGTGTGGGCTCTGAAGAGGATCCTGCAGGGATCCTGCCGTGGCTTACGGCTCTCACTGCCCCCGGCCTGGGGTAAAACAGTCTTATGCTGATACCTGGCCTCGCACCTTGCACGTGCGTGCGGCCCAGTGAAAGGAGCATGCCTTTGGAGCTGGAACGCCTGGCTTCAGACGGTGGCTCTGCTGTCCACTCGCTGTGTGACCTCGGGTAGCTGACTGAACCTCTCAGAGCTTCAGTTCCGTAGCACGGGAATCGCAGAAGCCCTGACACAGGTCTGCGCCATGAACTCAGCAGGTGAGACTGAGGGAAAGGCCCGGAGTGCGCCTGCTCTTCCCATGGCAGTGGGGACAGAGCCTGGTGTCTGCCTGCCTCCAACCTTTCCCCTTCCTGCCTGAAAATGGGAGCCTGGACTGTTCACGCTGCTCCCAACCGCCATGACCGAAAGGGGACACTGGGCTCTTCTGTGTCCCGAGAGATGAAGCAGGCCATTCTGGTGGTCTAGTCTCCTACCTCTTGCCAGGTGATGGCCGAGACACTGACCTATGCGGCATCATCCCAGCAAATGAAACGAGAGGGCGCACACTACGGTCAGATGGAGGGGCGCCTGGGAGGTTTCCTTAATTTTAAAAAGAAAGAAGGGAGAGATTTCTCCTTTTCTTTCTTTCTTCCTCTTTCTGCTTTGAGACTTACTTATTTGAGAGAGAGAGAGAGAGAGTGCATGTGTGAGCAGGGGGAGGGGCAGAGGGAGAGAATCTCAAGCAGACTCCCTGCTGAGAGGAGCCTGATTTTTTTGGGGGGCGGGGGTGTTTCCACAACCCCTAAGATCATGACCTGAGCCGAAACCAAGAGTCGGACACTCACCTGACTGAGCCACGCAGGCACCCCAGATTTCTATTTTTCTCTGCCCTTTAAAAAACTGCAGGCCCTCTGACCTCAAGACCCCTCAGGGGCAAGAGTGCATCCGGGTTGGGAAGTCAGGCCTGGGGGGCGTTAACTGCCCCCCAGCTCCTCTGACCAACTCCGCTCTGGCAGTCGTAAAAACAATTACAATTAATAAGCTGTCCTCCGCAACATACCCTTCTGGCTATTCTTAACACCCAGTTATTATTATTTTATGGCAAGACTTCTTTACTCTAACCAATGGTATTTGTTTCACCCACAGACTAAGGTTCTGGCCGTGAGCAATTCCAGTGGGACATGACAGCCATCTTTCCCAGCCGGGTCCTGAGTCCCACCAGGACGCTGGGGTCGGGGGTCGGGGGCCAGCTCCCAAGGGGTCAGTCTCCCCGAGTCAGAAGGGCGCCCCCCACGGGCCAGAGTGCTGTCCATTTATATCCATACCCTCCAAGCACTACTCTGGTTTTAGGGTTTGCTTTCATTTTTTGTAAAATTCATATACAATGAAATGCACAAATCTATAGCTCTATGAAAATAGAGAACATTCCCACATCTGCCCACAAAAAAAAAAAAAAAAACCGGATTTCATAGATTTGGAACTTCATTTCTTTCAACTTAGCCTCATTTAGGCCTAGTTGTAGGTTCAAAGGAAAATACAGAAAAGCAACTCCCTGCTCCCCTGCAGGCCATGAGAGGCCAAAACAGAGGGCTTCTTTTGCCTTCCGGGCTTCTAACTGGCTTCCGAAGCTCTGTCTTTTCTCCAGCAACTCATTTTTACACATGAGCCCAAGACGACCCCCGGTCCCAAAAGAGGCTCTCACGATGTCACGTGTAACTGCAAGTCATTCTGCACGCCAGGGCTCTAAGGCTGAGCTCTCCTGGGAGAGCCAGCTCTCCACCAACGACGCCGGCTGCAGGAAGACTGCTCTACTACGGACACCAACAGAGCCCAAGCCAACGACAGCTACCTCGGGGAGAACACGTTAGCTTATGCTGAACAGTCTCCTAAAAGCACGAGTGAATGCTGTCACCATCACTGGCCATCCCACAGTTCCAGCTCCTTTCATTTATTAAACACTATTTTTAGAGCTGGGGTTTCATCCATCCCAGTGCGAAGTGAGAACACAAGCCACTTCCAGGCTGAGCCACAGGTGACCACGTCACAGACTTAGGGTAAAGCCTTGCCAAGTCCAATGACAGTCGCTACCTGGGCCTAGGTCCATATGGCTGGTTTAGGACACTGACACTTCCACCGAATTTCGCTCTGGTCCGTTCTGTTTTTACACTCTGTGTTTTGCTCTCTCTTCATGAGGCTATGAGATAAACGCTTTTGGCTCATCTGCCAACTTAGTTTGATGGATTTCTTTAGCGGGGGTTCTCAGCTGGGGACGAGGGGTCTCCCCGGGGACATGGGGCAGTGTCTGGAGACACTCTGGGTGGTCCCAACCGGGGAGGACGTCCTGCAGCACCCAGGCCGGCCCCCCCCACAGCAAGGGTTATCCAGCCCAAGATGTCAGCACTGCCAGGCTGAGAAACCCGAAACTCAACTCACTGCTTGTTGGACCTGACTAGTGGCTCACTTTGCAGTCTCTGGAGGTAAGAGTCCAGACTTTACCTCCTCAGAACTGGAAGAGTTACCCACCAGCCACGTGGGCTTGGGTGAGCTCACAAAGCCTCATTTTGCTCGTCTGCAGAATGGGGGCCAGTCGAGCTGTTGCAAGAATCAGCTGGGATGAATGTTTATTAACAGCACAGTGCGGCGCCTGGCAAGTGACTAGCCAGCAACCCTTTCAGGTGAGGTCATGACCCGTGCCCTAGGTTTTCTCCTCTGCCACTTTCTTAGAAATGTGCCCATCTCTTTCTTCTAGTCCCATTCTCTCTGTTCCTCCTCTCGTGTTTTATTGCTTTTTCCTCTTCTCTCTCTCCCTCCTGACCCCTCCCCATCTCTACCTTCCTCCCTCCCTCTCTCACGCACAGACACACACACACACACACACACACACAGTTGCATCTTTAGGTTTGTCACCTCGAAGTGACCAAGACTGAGTAAAATTAGTAAAATTTAGTAAAATTAGTTTACTGAAACTAAGCAGGAAGAAGGAGCGTATAAGTATGTCATTTAAATGAACAGGATCAAGTTAACTGGTCCTGTCAATCTGCATCTTTAAGCCACATGAATGACCAATAATAAAAAAAATCAACTGCGTCTGCCCTGAAGTCATCTGAAAACACCACGCTTTCCGGCAGTTCCTACGCTGTAATCACAAGGATCTGGCCACGAGAGTGGCCCCACCTCGGGCTTGCAGGGGAGTCACCAGAGATAACCAGGCCCTGACTGCCCATCATTAGCAGGAGGCAGAGGTCCCTTCTCGACCCGTGGCTGCGTCATGAGGAGGAGGAGCTGGTGCCAGGCTGCGGGGCCTGTGGCGTGGGGATCAGACCTCGAGCGGGACAAGTGTGCTGCCATGTGTCGTGGGTGTCACCCCGTCTCCAGCCACACCCCCTGGCCACGGCCAACGATGGGCGCACACACCTCCTTGGCTCCGCGCCCGGCCTGGGCCCGCATCCCTTGTCCCTGCTCTGCAGCCTGGCCGCCCCCCAAACACAGTGGCGTCCCACACGTTCTGTGGTCCGGTCACCCGTCCCTCTCCCCTACACCGAGCTCCTCGGCGCGTCTGCTCCTCTCACGGGGCCGTGTCTCCCCAGCACCAACCGCTGTGCCAGGCCCGCGTCAGGTGCCCAGTAACTGTTTCTCACAGAAACAACTGGAGGCCGTGCCTTCAGCGGGCAGGGTCCTTCCCACCGCTCACACACCTGTGCCGTCCTACTCGCCGTTCCGACTAGTTAGTCCGAATGCCCCCTTTGCCCGGGAGCCAATGCAGGACTGGAGCTGTGCCCGTGGCTACTCCTGCTTTGGGTTCCCCCCCACACTCCCCTGCCAGCCGTAAACTGCTGGTGGGCAAGGTCTGTATCCTGCCCGCGCCTGCATCCCGCCACCCTGAGCCTTCCCCAGAGTGGCCGGCTAACAAGCGCCCCAGTGGGAAAGAAGGTGCTGGAAGAGGTCAGCCATCTCTGGGATGGTGCGCTCGGACAGCATGACTGGAAGATCTGTCAAGCTTGCTGGGAACCCAACGTTCAAGTGAACACACAGCCCCCTCGAGCCGCCCTGTCATGCAGGCACAATCAGAGGAACCCCTGAGAGGCACTTAAAAACGAATCCCCCCACTCTGCTCTAGCCGTGTGCCCTCCCTCCGTGCTCCACAGGACCCAGGGCCCAAGAAGGGACACTCAGAGATCCACGATTTTTAAAAAAACATAGAAATAAGAACAGTGAGATCCCACGCCTTCCCACTACCGACAAAGTTCCAATTATTTTTTTTAATGTCATATAATCAGTCTTGATGGGATGCTGACAAATGGCTACTGGAGTAAAATCTGTACGATCTTCTGAAAAACAACCTGCCTTTGATACATGAAGAATCTTGAAAGTGTGTTTACTCTTACCAAAACTACAATTCCACAATATACATGTTCCTCAAAACTGCTATCTAGAACAGTAAGCTAGGAAGGAACTGTAAAAATAAATTCTCGTACATCCACAGGATGGAATACCATGGAACCATTAAAAAACAGGTTCTTCAAGGGCATTTGACATTTGCAGGTCGGAGACAATGCTCATCATCACTTGCTAAGTAAAAAAGCAGGTCACAAAAACCACACGTGCTGGAAAGCCTATTTAAAAAATGTACTGGGGAGCCTGGGTGGCTCAGTTGGTTAAGCAACTGCCTTCGGCTCAGGTCATGATCCTGGAGTCCCGGGATCGAGTCCCGCATCAGGCTCCCCGCTCAGCAGGGAGTCTGCTTCTCCCTCTGACTCCCCCCTCTCGTGCTTTCTCTCTATCTCATTCTCTCTCTCAAATAAATAAATAAATAAATAAGTCTTTAAAAAAAAAAATAAAAAACGTACTGTACGCTACCAAAACTTACTAGAGGCAAATATACTAAAACTGAAACAGTGATTGCTTCGATTGGTGGGATTATGGATTTCTTATTTTATTCTTTACATTCTCTGTGTCATTTGCATTACCCGAGAAAAAAAGATATTTAGAGAGGCCAAGTGATTAGTTCTGACCAACTGCTTCCTTCATTTTGCATTCCCCATAGCCACAGAGAGCCGAGAGGGTCTGGCCTGGGGCCTGGGAGAGGCCTGTGCTCTGGATGCACCATCCAGCTACCACTCGTCAGCTAAACGACGGATGGTTCCGAAGGAGCCCAGTGGCCGTGTCACCCAGTGACAAGAACCCGGACTAGCCTCCTCCCCCATCCTGCAAGCTCAACCTACTCTCTCCCTCGGAAGTCAAACACTTACCCGCGGTGAATAAAGTGGCCAATCCCAATAAGAGTGATGAGTGTGGGGGCCCAACCAACTTGCCGGACAGCAGGCGACCCCTTGGGAAACCCTGGACCTAATATCTCTGACACATCACTTCCCCAGCTTCTTTTTCTCATCTATAAAGTGTGCATTAGAGGTTTTGAGAATTTCTTTTTTAAGCATTGGAATCTCTTTTAAAAAATAAACCCAAATGCAATAAAATCAGAGGTGCTCTGGTTGAAGGAAGGGGATGGAAGAAGAGGCAGAACCCTGCTTTCTTGTCCTCCCCAGCAGAAGCCCCTGGCATCCTCCCAAGGAACTAAGATGGTGTGGAAGTCTCAGGACCAGATGATCTCTCAGGTCCCCTTGGGCACACAATCACTCCTTAATTCTTCAATTCTCTGAGGCAAGCTTACCGGTCCACAGCGATGACCCCGAGTGTGAGCATGCTGGCCGAGCTGATCAGCAGGTACAGAAGGGCCGAGAAGTTGCACCAGACCACGCCAAAGATCCATTCCCTCCGAATGGAGCTGGTCGCCACGAAAGGCAGCACCAGCACGGACAGCAGGAAGTTGGAGAGCGTGAGGCTGAAGACGAACTTGTTGCTGAGGGTGAGGAGGTAGGATTTCTTGTACAAGGTGACCACGATGACGAGGTTGCCCAGGCAGACAAAAATGGTGATGATAATGATGGTGATGAAGTCGGTGATGACGGCGCCCCCTTCACCACCCTCCTGGTCTGTGAGGTTGCTCAGCTCCTTCCTGTGGCCAAGGGAGGAGTTGAGGCTCATGGTCAGGGCACCTCGGCGTGCGGTGGGCAGAGCATGCCGGACCACTGGAAAAAGAAGGTAGGACCAGTGGGCAGGGGAACACTCGTCAAATCCCATCATATGTACTTGACACGAGAGCAGCAAGAGACCCCAGTTCTCCCGTCAGTCCTGAGGCCCTTAGCCAGTATTCCCCACTCAAGCTCCACCACAGAGGCCTATTTTCTACAACCAACTTTGTGTGTGACTCCCTGGGTCTCCTTGAACATGTTCTTCCAATCTAATCCAACCTGTTCACATGCCCCGAAACCTCTGATATACTGAAGGAGAGCTGATTCTTGGGCCCTGCCCCAGAGATGCTGGTCCCAGAAATCAGAGGTCCAGCCAAGGAACCTGCATTTTAAACAAGCAGGGGAGAAGTGGGCTGGGCTGCTTTGGGGCCCCTGCAATTCAGGGAGGTCCCCGGACAAGCAGCGGCAGCAGCACCTGGAGCCACAGAGATGGAGAAGTTCAAGCACACGGTTGACCTCCTGGACCAGAACCTGCATTTTCATCCCATCCCCAGTTGATCCATGTGCCCATTAAAGTTCAACAGTGAGCTTATCATAGGAACTTTCTGAGGTCCCTGAGCAACAAGTTCAATTCATACTGAGGCATCATCGCTGCTCTTGTCAGCCATGCGGAAGGCAGGCAAGGACCCGAGCACCGAGTATAAATAGGTACGAGCAGGCACAGTCTGAGGTCTTGGCCCACAGACACCACTCTCTGCAAGGTGCAGTCCCTGCTTTCAGGACACTGGCTCAGGATCTTGGCTAAACCTGAAGGCTAACATCTTAACATTCAAGCCTGCAGAAGCATGTTTCTCCAAACATTTCATCTACTTTAAGCAGCCAAAACATCCCAGACACTTCCCCCACCTGCTCTTGTTCCCAACAAACAGAAGACCCCAGAAAGAAGGAAAGCTTTCCTTCCATGAGCCAGATGACAGGAACCCTGGTGCCTAAACCGTCCACACACAGCTGCAGAGCCTTCCCTGCCGTCCCCCGGTTGACCTGACACCGCTGTCCAAACACCTTTGGCCACAAGGAGCTGGTGGGCTGAGGCAGCCCGTCCCCTTCCAGCAGTCCTGAGTGCTGGGTAGAGAGCTTCCCTTTCGAGTGAGCCTGTCTGCTGGGGGACCGAGGCCCGCTGGCTTGTGCAACACCGAATAATCCTAATCCCTCCTCCACTTGAGCCTTTAAATGCTTCACAAGTGACTTGCTTTCCCTTCTCCAGATTTAATCTCCCGAGTTCCTGAAATGACTTCCAGACTCTTCACTAATTCAGACTCCCTGGTTTGGACTTGTTCGCAGACAGCTATGACCCTCTTGATTTGTGGTCCCCAAAACTGAGTGTACCATTCTGGATGTGGGCTGGTAAGTGTGGAGCACAAGGGGGCAATTTTCTCCATCATCAGGACAATCTCCTCCTAATATTCACTCTAAGAACACATTTTCTTTCAGCAACCATATCATCCTGTTGGGCTTTTCTCACTGTGTGGTCAACTAAAACCCAAAGCTTATACAAATATGAATTTCAGTGAAGGCAGGAGTCCCCAATCTAAAACTTATGGCATTAATGTTTTTAAGTCTAAATACAACACATTATTTCTACTAAATTTTATTTTGTGCATTTTGGTCCATATTTCCAGGCTGCTGAAATATTCTGAATTTTTATTCAGTTATGCAATATCTTAGTTACTCCAGCTCTGTGCAATGAATATTCTTTATAGGTATGCCTTCTATGTCTAAGTCTTTGTAAGGTTATTTCTGGGTTTAGTCTTTATTTTGTGAGTTCTGAATTCTGAATTTTGTTAATTCTTGTAAGTAAACTATTGGGGCGCCTGGGTGGCTCAGTCGGTTAAGCGTCTGTTTCGGCTCAGGTCATGATCCCAGGGTCCTGGGATCAAGCCCTACACCAGCCCCTTCTCAACAGGGCAGTCTGCTTCTCCCTCTCCCTCTCTCTGCTCCTGCTCTCTCTCACTCTCTCTTTCTCTCAAGTAAAAAAAAAAAATCTTAAAAAAAAACTCTTATAAGTAAATTATTAATTGGTGTCTCAAAATAAAGGTCCTACATGAGCATATTATTAACTGCGCAAGTGGTAACACGGTGGTAAAGAAAACAGACTTTGAGTCATTAGACAAATGACAAAATGGGAGAAAATATTTACAGTTTATATCTCAGAGGAAGGACTAATCATTCTAATTTATTAAGTAATTCAAAAAAAAATAGAAAAGATGAGAAAGCAGAAGAGTGAGCAAAAGATACAAACAGAAAAAAAAATGTAGGTATCTGAGGACATCAATGACATCGATGTTCACTAAACTTATTGTGGTCATTTCGCAGTATACACATCCGTCCAATCATTATGTCGTACCCCTTAAACTTACATGATGTTATGTGTCAGTTTAGATCCCAATAAAACCAAGCACAAAAAGACATAAACAGTTCACAGAACCAGATATACCAATTGTACTTAAACATACGAAAAGATACCCAATGTCAGGGAAAGTAAGAGAAATTCCCACAAAACTACACGAGATACCATTTCCTCCCCCTTCATGCCACTAAAAACTCAAGCATGGCATCACTCTCTGTTGGTGAGGCCGTGGGGAAACGGGCATTCTCCGCACTCACTCACACTCCGCATGTGAATGCAAAAGGGAAGAGCCCTGTGGCGGGGGGTTTGGCAATATCTAACAAAGCTCCATGTGCATGTACCCTTTGACCCAGCAATTCTACTTCTAGGTAACTGCCTGAAGATGTAAGTTCATAATATGAAATAACGGATGAACAAAGTTATTCCGTTCATTAAGGCACTAGTGGTAAAAAAAGAAAACAAAAAACCTGGAAAAACATGAGAGAGGGAAAATAAAATGTGCATAATCATTTGCATATAAATATGCACAAATACATGTTTACTTATGCAAAAAGAAAAACAGGAAAGATAACCAGAATTCAAGATATTGATAGAAGTAAAATTTCTCTAAGTATTTTTTTATAGTTTTGATTTTTTGAACCATGTAAATATTTTATACACTAAAAAATTTTAAATACAAATGGATGCAAAAGGTAAACAAAATTACTGCAAACAGAAAAAACAAGACTAACTGTATGTTAGATTGACAACATAACCATAGGGAGAAAAAAGTTATATCAAGTAGCTTTTAAAATACAGTATTTTGACTGCAAATCGTTAATGGTATATATTCTATGGACCAAAGAACTACTAAGTTTACTTAGTAGGCTTGATGTTGTTAATGGTGTTGTAATTTTACAACTATTTTGAATGTAGAGCAAGTGAGTCTACATGTTTATGAAGAAAGGAGGCACGGATTACAGAACAGGGAAAGGAAAGGAAGGACCCATGGTGTCAGGTTGGCTACTGGAGGTATCAGTGTGAACTCCCTATTCAAAACTACAGAATCAGACCCAAGGAAATTCCCCGGAATACAGTCAGAAAGATTAAGAAAGTGAAACTATAGAATAAAAGGCAAATGAGAGAATGAATAGGAAGCACTTTATTATTCAAGCAAAGCAGAGTGTTTTTCACTTATTAAGGGAATCACATCTGGCAAGATGGCGGACTCAGCCGATATGAACATCTTTCCCGCTCCAAATTCATTGAAATGCTGGGTTAAATATGACCCAAGGTTTTAAAAAGAAAAAAAAGAAAGAAAGAAAAAGAAAAACCAGGAAAGAGAAATCCATAGGTACCAGAAACAAAATTCAAAGCCAGAGTTATAATTCCACACCTGTGGCCAGAAGAGTATCACACCTAGTTCAAGACCCCTAGGGCTGAGGTTTTTTTATGTGGGAGGGTGACTCTGAGCTCCACAGGCAGAGAACTGGAACCAATACCCTGCATAAACAGTGGGTTCTAGAAGGGCAGCCCCCTCCATGAAAAAAGGATTAGAAAAACTCCTCCCACTGGCAAAGGGAAGCGGCAAAAACACAGTCATTTACCCGAGGCTCTGGGTGGAGCATGAAACACTTTCTTCCATGAGAAATCAAACGTTATGTGCCATGCTGATGCAGGTACCAAATCCATGAATTCTGCATGGGGCAGAAATCCAAACTAATAAATCCATGTAAAAATTAATGCTGACCAAAGTTAAGCATAAAATGGCTCTGTAGTGAATTTCCACATTCAAAAAACAAACACTCAATGAAAGTGAGTGCACAGCATTCACGAGGAGGGAGAGTCAACAAAACAAAAAGCAGAACTGACATTCCAAGAACTTAAATTAATAGAAAAAGATGAATAAGACTGTAAAATAAGTACTATTAAAAGCTTTTAAAAAAAAAGGGGGGGTAAGAACCATAATGAAAGAATAAGACATCACGAAAAAATAGTAAGCAACTGTGAAAAAGAATCAAATAGATATTCTAGACATTAAAATTTTAGTTGTCAAAATTAAAACCTCAGTGGTTATGCTGAATACCAGATTTAGCTAAAGGGAAAGATGGTAAACTGGAAGACAGCTCTGAGGAAATTACTCAAAATGTAATTAAAAGATTAAACTGAAAATATGAAAAGCCAAGATTCACAGAGGACAGGATAAGGAGATCCAACATAAGTTCAACAGAAGGGCAGCAAGAGATTAAAGAGAATGTGGGTAGCAGACGCTGCTTGGGGCCTACCCAACTACCACTCTGGGTTTTCTTACTGGCAGAGTTCTGACTCTGTTTTGGTGTAATCCTCCAGTGACTCAGAGAAGGTTGATCCTCCCTACTTCTGGAAGCTAGATCCTGGTTGGTCTAAAGTAATCATTGTGTCCCTTCTCCTGGCAAAGTAGTCGGGAGAAGTCTGGGGTTGGTGGGGGTGGAAATGGGGATATCTGGGGAAAGTTGCTGTGATCTCACTAAGACACTAGGAAGAAAAATCTTTTCCGAGGGCCCTAACGGCAAAGAAAGCACAGAGCTGTGGCAGCCATCTTGGGATCTTTAGAGGTGCTCAGGCAGCATGGTGAGCATGGCAAAGAATGGTCAGTCCTCGGGCTGTTGAATTAGCAAACCTTCAAGTCACT